AGAATTTTGCAGAAGTTTCGAGGCCTGAAAACTTACCAAAAATTTCCAAAAAATCCTACTGTGTTACCTTGACTTATAACGAATAAAAGTTGTGTCCGCGTTGAGGTCCGTGTATATTTCGTCTAATTTGACATATAATTTGCAATGCATAATTAGGCCAGTTCATGTTCCCCAGATACAACACATATTCGTTATGAGTCAGGTAAGACAGTAAGTCTTTCCAGAAGATCCGAGAACCTTCCAGAAATTTCAAGAATTTCACAGAAAATCCAAGAAGCTCCCAAAATACCGAGATATTCTGCGAACTTACCTAACATGTTTAAAACTTTAAAAAGTTGTCGGAATTCTTGAAACTTGGGTGAAAGTCCTGGGACTTCTGGGAAGTTCTAGAATCTTCAAGGAAGCTTTCAGGATTTTTAGATAGGTCATGTAAATTCTGGGAAACATTTTTTTCCTTGAATTGTTTTCCGTCGATCTTGTTTTCCGTACTGAATACCAATGCTACCGACGCTACGGAGATAGCTCCCGCACCCATATCTCATGGACCGGGGACCGGAAGGCGTGATCACGACGGCACCGATTGGGATTGAACCCAGGCTCTTTAAAGTGAGAGGCCGCCACGCCTGGGAAAACCTTCTAGCTTCTGGGAAGTCCTCACAATTTCTGAAAAGTACTCGGATTTTGTGAGAAGTTCTCGAAACTTCTGGAAAGATCTTGGAAAATAAGGAAAGTTCTCGGAATACTTGGGCAGTTCTTGAAATTTCCTAGTATCTAACATTCTGGATAATTCCTGGAACATCTGGATAGTTCTGGCATCTTCTGAAGGTGTTTCTAAATTTCTGGGACGAATTATTGCAAAGTTCTTTGATCTTTTATGAAGTTCTTGGGATTTCTAGAAACATTTCAGATCTTCTGTGAAGTTCTCAAAATTTATGGAAAGTTCTCAGAACTTCTGAGAAGTTCTTGGAATATCGGTGAAATTCGCCGATCTTCTGGGAAATTCTCGAAATTTTTGGAAAGTTCTCGGAATTTGCGGGAAATTTAAGGATCTTCTGAACTTCTTCTTGGAAGGAACTTCCAGGAATCTCACAGAATTTGTGAGCAGTTCTCGGATGTTCTTCGAGGTGCTCGTATCTTGTTGAAATCTGTCGAAAATTCGGGGCAGTTGCCGGAACTTTTGGAAAGTCCTCAGAATTTCTAGTTATTTCTCGAATATGCTGGGAAATCTCGGAATTTCTGGCAAGCTTCCTGAAATTCCGGAAAGCTCTCGGAACTGATTAAAGTATTCGAAATATTTGGAAAGTTTTCGTATCGTCTGGGGAAGCTGTCGGAAACTCTGCGAAGTTTACTGAAATGTTTATGGAACTTCTGGAAAGCTGGCGAAAATATTGGGAAGTTTTCGGAATTTATTGTAAATGCACAGATTTTTTTTTTTGGGAAGTTTGCAGATTTTCTGAGAAGTTCTTGGAACTTATGGAAAGCTCTCAGAATTTCAGAAAAGTACTCGGATCTTCGAGGATCTTTTAAGATCTGAGATCTTCTAGGAAATTCTCGGATTTTTTGGAAAGTTCTAGGAATTTCTGGGAAGTTCTCGGATCTGTTAGGAAGTTGGAGTTCGAGGTCTAGAAGATCTAGATCTAGTAGTACTTGGAATTTGTGAGAAGTACACAGAACTTCTGGAAAGTTGTTGGATCTTCTTTGAAGATCTACAAATTTATGAATGAAATTCATGGAGGTAGTTGATCTATCTGTTAAGGTTGTCTTCATTTTCACCTATGTTGAGAGTGTAGAAGAAATGATTTTTATCGGCACTGGTCCTAACAGTTAAAGATAACATCACAAAAGTTTAATTTGAAGATTTTTAACATTGTCCTAAAATTGTATTGTTTTTTTAGATTGATATCTCAATAATAGGCTTGGGTTCTTAAAATGTGTCTTAAAGTCGAGATTTCTATTTTGGTTTCCGAAGTCCATGATTTCGGCATACCTCACTTCACTTCGGCATATCCCCCTTAAATCTTTCTTCCTACAGCCTAGCAGAATTTGTTTTACAGCAGTCCTAATTTAACTCGCGTGCAAAGAATTTAATGCACGAATGCCTTCATCCAGCTGTTTGCCTTCACTGTGTTTGACGCTTATGGCTGAAATGGGTCCCATATGCCGAAGTAGTGCTGTAATCCAATCCAATCTAACACCAGCGTAGCTAGTTTTTTTTCTTTGATTTATTTTCCGTCGATCTTGTTTTCCGTGCTGAGCACCAATGCTACCGACGCCAGGGAGGCAGCTCCAACACCTGGACCCTACCTATCGACCCAACAACTCATGAACCGGGGACCAACAGCTTTACTTCTCTTCCGAAGGAAGGCGTGATCAGAGATGTTATGCCTCAGAACATCCCGGTGGCACCGACTGGGATTGAACCCAGGCCTGCTGGGGTGAGAGGTAATCACGCTTACCACTACACCACCGGCGCCGCTGGGCGTAGCTAGTTCATGAAAGCATCCTGGAAAATAATTGAAATACCTTCAACATTTTTCTCGTCTATCTGTTTCACATCGAAGATGCGTTACACATACCAAAACGGCCAGGTCTACTGTACAGCATTTAAGGGGGAAGATGAATCAGAAAACATCGAAGATTTCAACACAATGTTTCGGAATCCAATATATGGATAAAACGTGGACATCTCGTACCGTTGGTTTCGTTTTTGGTAATTGGTTGGCCGTTGGAAGCATGTAAGCTAGACAGGTTAACTGACGGTTGGGACGTGAGCACTAACTATTGTCCTACACACTTAGAAATTATCGCCGATTTCGGTAATTTTTACCGAAATCTGAACGGCTGAACTGTTCGGTAAAATTTATGCAATTCAATTCAATTGCTTTTCAGCTACTTTGCAAACTAAATCTCCACTAAAATGACAAGATTTGATCATTTAAACAAGGTTGAACAAGTTTTAAAATTATTTTCAAATTCAATAGCCTTTAAAATGAAGGTCAAAGTTTTACCGAACATTCAGCTGTTCTGATTTCGGTAAAATTTACCGAACACGGAACCAAAATCTTAGTGTGTAGCCTTGTATGGCTTATGGCTATAGAGCACCATTACTCGCTTTCTGAAAAGTGAAGAGTGAAGAGTGAAAGGAAAAGGAGAAGGTCAAAGGGAAAGGACTATATTTAGGGGAAATGGATGTAATGTCGGCCTAAATGCCCCTAATTTGGGCCCATACATTAATTCAGCAATCGACTAAATTTTCAATAACTACCAAAAATATGCCTTAGTACCGTCTCAATGATGCGTTAATATAGATAAAATTGATAAATAGCAGATCCATAGGCCAACATTACAGCCATTTACCCTATATAAAAATGAACTTCTGTCTGTCTGTCTGACCCTTATAGACTAGGAAACTACTGAACCGATCGGTGTGAAAATGTGTATGCAGGGGTTTTTGGGGCCGAGAAAGGTTCTTATGATGGTTCGAGACCCCGAGGCTCCCATACAAATGATACAGAAAAATATAGCATGAATCGGCGCCTAAACCCAAGCTAATATTGCATCCCGAGCAAGGGTGGGCACACTTAGCTATTACAAAATAAAAATTCATAACGGGAGTGGTCACTACCCGAGTCTTGTCACTATTGACAAAGCATAAAAAGTAACAAGGACTAAAATGTGTTCCTTTGATCACTGAAAAATCCTCCTCATCAAGTTTAGCCAATTGAACCTAAAGGCAGCTTGACATGTGTTGACGTAGAAATTCAAATGGTAGACGTTCCGCTTGACGAAGACCATCAGGAACTAGTCCGGGTTGTGGTGGAGCTTGCACGGAATGTCTTTGCTCGATTTGTGATAAAAGATGTTCGGATGTAGTCGATTTTTGATGTGCATTGGCAAGCCTTTTCTTGGCCAATAGTCAGGTTCAGCGCTGTGACTCAACGATGAGACGAATGATGGGATGTCATGTTGGTTCTACTTCCAAACAGCTTGCCAGCTGCAAATAACGGGGACGTAGAGCTAGATAGCATGAGATGCAGCTCTCGCAGAGCTTCTTCTGTTTTAGTGAATTTGCTGAGGAACTATAAATCGTAACCTTGGGCATGGTTTTAGCCAGATCAGCAACTTATTTTAGAACAGAAAGACGCCACGAAAATCAAAACAAACGTCATGTTCGATCACACGCACAGTCTACTCCCATCCCATATGCCGAAGTAGTGCTCCATCATATAACCTCGTTCGAGATCCTAGACGATCGAATTTTGTCAACAGCTAGCTAAACGCAACTAGTCCATAAACGAAGTTTCACATTTTCGGTGATATTGTTTTTCAATTTTGGCATTGATCCCAACTTGAGTTTAACTCTGTCAATCCACTGAACTAAGATAGGGGAAATGACGGCTTCGGCATGACAGACTATTTTCGGCAACCCAAATTGAAACACTATTTTCACTGGATTTTCTTACGAAAACACTTCGCTGAATGCATGCAAACGATTCTTTATGCTTTCAGCTTCAATTTGACTGTATTTTTACCACTGAGAAAAAGCAATCTAGCAGGGTTTTCTTGAAATGAAACACACGCACTACAAATTGTAGCTGATTTCGAGTTGCCGATAATAGAACAGCAGATTTACATGCAGTTCAAATGGAACGGTTGCCGAAGAAAAACTGGTTGCCGACAATACTCGCTCTCACTAGAGAAGATTCGAGCTTTGTTAAAGCGTTTCAAAACAGTTTTTGACAATTCTTTCGACTGAAATTGTTAGAGCAGCTGGCAGCAAAAGATTGTACACAAACCAATACTGCATATGTGTGCGTTCCATAGAGAAAAAGGCTATAGAAAGAAGGTCGCTGCTTAGGTTGCCGAGAATACGTAAATTCCCCTATATAAATTATGTAATGTTGCCATCAGAAGACTCTTCAATTCATTACGAATAACGACTTACGATTACGATTTTGTGAAACAAAAATCCTATTCGCTAGTTTGTTGCCTCACCAGAAACAAATACAGATAGTGTAGAAAAATCCATACTCACATTTGATATATTTTTCCGTTTTGGTTTGCGTGTAGGTTACAGCGATTATCTTGCATCATGCCTACGGGGAGATCGTTAAAAACAATAAATATTCATCTACCCTCGCTGACTAACCGGCCGGCCACAACTGGGCTGTACGAAGTAGGTCTTCTAATCGATTTGCATGCGTTCATTGACCAATATTGACCTCGAACTATCGAAACCGGTTTCCTGTAGTCAGTGAGTCTGGCTTGGCTTGGGCAGCTGATCAGTATCAACATTGCGTGACATTAGGGGAAATTTCGACTACCAAAGGCACCTCATTCACATCCAACCGATAGCGTTCTTCTTTTAGCACAGTCAGTGATTTGTTTCAATCAATGACGACGCGAGCTCATCGACCACAATAAGCGAAGAAACTAGTGAAAGTGCACGGAGGAAAATCTTCTGACTAATCGTCGAAGCACAAAGCCCCGTGGAAAGTGACAATTGACGACGAAATCGACGAGCGAAAAATGGAATGGTCATGGTTGAGGGATTGGTGGCGATTGAAACGGCCCAAACGTAAACATCGTCGCAGTAGAACGGTCGTGTGCGTTGGAGAATCCTGCGGTGGAATGGCAGGACCATCAGCCGCCGCGATTCGTAGTGATGGAGGGGAGAACAGTGCCAGTGGTGGTGATCGGAATGCAGATGGCGATTTGGAGTTTTCCGATGCCCACGGTTGGGGCGAAAATGGTCACGATGGTGGTTGCTATGGCGAGGAAGAGGACGACGATGACGAGTTTATCTGCTATTGTGACGAATGTATGAATGTACGGTTATTGATGGTGGTATTTCTTAACTATAATTGCTTGTTAGAATAGAGTTTATTTGTTGTGGAAAACAGTGCTTGGGATCTTTGATTGCAAGTTTTGGAAGGTATAGGTATATTTTTAATTTTCAGAAAGTAAATACTGGCATATTTAGTGCCATGATTTTGGACCTTTCGAACACACAAGCTCTGGGATCCGTCAAAGGTTGACCCTGACCGAGATCCTCTGAATGGTGATCAAATAAATTCAAAATTCTCTCATTAGGTTGCGCAATTGTGTATATCATCTTCAGTTATGTATCGAGATCCTGGCCATCTGGGAAATTTCTGTATTCAGGAAAGTTTTTCAGGTAGAAAAGCCCTTCCGGATGGTGTTGTATAAGGCTATCTTGATATCCTTAGGCAGTTCGCAGTGCTGCAGTATTTTATATGGACTGTTTCAATTTGAAACTAGAACAGAAACGCACCCCGCGCAATGTTGAGTTGAAGTTTCATTATTAGAGTACTAGTACTCGACTATTCTGTTATATTTATGAGCCAATTTGAAACAAGGTTTATACGCACTGCTGCGTCTATCGGACATCGGATACTCTTGAATTTGAAGCTTACGGTTTCGCGAAGAACTGGATTAGGATGATCTATATCAACAACCTACTAGCTTTTCTTACAAACTTTTCATCCACATATTAAGCATGATCATGATTGACCGCCCACGGTTGCTGCTCTGTTATTGTCAGATCAGCTGCAATTACACAGAGAACCATCAGATGATGTTTGGATGTGTAAAAAACTGGAGATCTAATGTTTGGCAATACCAGCGCAGGCCTTGTCCGAATGCAGGTCAAATAGAGAATGGGAAGGAATGTGTTGACATGATACTCGCTGTGAAGAAAACCGAGAAGTCCTCTGCGCTGCCACGAGAAATCACTGGGATGTTGGATGTGGATAAAGGTTTGCAGCAGGGATCGTTTTGGTAAACTAATGCTGATTGTAGCGATTTATAATAGGTACACAAACACACACACACGCACTCATAACTATAAACAGAACATTACATGATAGACCCCTCGAAAACAACCAAACTTATGAGTGTTGACCATCATAATCACAAGTGAATAAATAAATAGGAACGAACTAACCAAATGAAACCACGTGCAACGTCAACCGGATTAAATTGCATGGTGCTGCTGGTACTTTCATGGTCCCTCTTTCTTGCTTAAATCAGGAAGAAGCGGCCATGCCTTGGTGGATATCATACCTCGTACTGGCATTCGATGATGGTACTATTGGACAGAATTAGCATGTTGTCTCTCCTTGAATACACCCTGATTCCTGGTGTTGCCGTTTCATTAGGGAGAATTTCCTGTAGTCCTGAATCTGTGATCTTTTTTGTAATTTTCAGATTTCTGGTACATCTAATATGAAATGTCACTAAAGGAGTCCTCAGGATCAGCACGTGTGGGTCGCTTCTCCATGATATCGTTGAAAACTAAAGAACACAAGGGGTTCAGTGGAGGAATTTGTTTTCGGAGCTCCTTCTTTACTCTTCGCTTGATCTCCTTGTTTTAACCAAGAAAATTATAGACAAAAATAAACTAGATGCAGTCTTCACTAGTTTTCTGGACACCATTGTTTGCGTTGATTATGTTAATGAATATATTATCGCTATAACATCAACTTATAATAAATTATTTAAAAAAAAATAAAGACAAATCCCTCCAACGATTATTTGCAAGAAATGCTTAAGCATGTAGCCAAAAAGACTGATATTGCAAAAAGAAGAAAAATTTGAAGATACATGTAGTGCTTAAGTATGGAAAAATTTGAATGGAATAATGTGTAGGACAAACCAGGTTCCTAATATTGAGCTCCAATATAATGGATGTAAAACTTCGACTAATTTAGAAACTTGTGAATTTTTTAACGATTTCTTTGCAAACATTGGAGCAGAGCTCGCAGCTAATATTCCAAAAAATAATTAGAATCCACTAAGTACTGTTGCTCGCCTTGAGCGAACTATTTTTCTTGAACCTACTGATGTAATGGAGGTATCGTCTTTAATAAATGATTTAAATGTTAAAAAAAGGCTGTGGACCTGATAGTCTTCCAGCGAGTGTCATTAAACATAACCTGAATGCATTTTCAAATAGCTTTACAGAGCATTTCAATAGCATACTGAAGCAAGGGAGATACCCTGGCTGTCTCAAAGTGGCAAAAGTGGTGCCTGTTTTTAAAGCTGGTGATGCATCTGATCCTTGCAATTAGCGTCCTATTTCCACGCTGTCTACTGTCAAATTTTTTTTGAGAAATTGATAGTTAATAAACTTGTAAAATTCTTTAACAAATGCACAGGGTTTAGGAAATGAAGTAGTACTTCTACGGCAATAGTTGAGCTTGTCGATTTTTTATTGAATCAAATTGATAATTAATGTATCGTTGGAGGCCTCTCTATTAATTTACAGAAGGATTTCGATACTCTTAATCATAATATTCTTTTGCAAAACATAGATTGCTATGGCATACGTGGACTGGCAAATTACATTGTTCGTAGTTATTTAAGTGATAGGCAACAGTTTGTAGTACTGAAAGATGCACAGAGCTCGCACCGGCCAGTAAACGTAGGAGTTCCTCAAGGAAGTAATATTGGGTCCCTTTTTTTTCTGATCTACATCAACGATATGGGAAATTTACCTCTTAAAGGAATAGCCAAATTATTTGCGGACGATACAGTGCTTTTTTACCCTTATAATGATTCTTTATCTATTGTTTCTTGCATAAACGATGATCTGCAAGTTCTTATGAGATACTTTGATACAAATTTACTTTCGTTAAACTTATCCAAGACTAACATTTCGACCACAAAATGCACGAATATTGTAATTTAATTTAATCGGTTTTCTGCCTTGGGGCCAAAATAGGAACCTATGGCCAATACTGCTGCCCTCTGAAGCTTTGAATCACTTCGCAAATCACTATCAGATTGCTTAAAAAAATATGCCGAAATCTTTTTCCTAATTTTTCTCGCAGAAAAAATCACAGCGAAGAAAATAAACGTCAAACTTGTTCAAAGGCAGAGCCTACTCCATGGGTTGTTTTTTTTCCGACCCAAACAAAAACCGCTTAACGTTAACCAGATCGAAAAAGATCTATTCAAACGTTTCTCGTCAGTGACCGACATTTTGAAGGTGAGGCCAGACAAACTGCGCGTCACTGTTGGTAACCGCAAGCAGGCGAATGAGATTGTTTTTTTTTTTTTTTTTTCTTTATTTTAGAGATTTTTAGCCTGAGGCTAGTTCATCTCTTAAATGAGATTGTTGCCTGCGAGCTGTTTATGTTAGAGTACCGCGTTTACATTCCCAGTCGTGACGTGGAAATCGAAGGAGTGGTCACCGAAGCGAGTTTGACCTGCGATGACTTCTTGAAGAGGGGGGTTGGTGTCTTCAAGAACCCCGTTCTTCCAGAAGTCAAGATTCTTGACTGCACCCAAATGCAGTCAGCATCCCTCGACGGGACAAAAAAAAATCTATTCGCTGACTGACTCGTTTCGAGTGACTTTCTCCGGATCGACTCTGCCAGATTACGTCCGAATTGGGAGGGTTCGACTTCCTGTGCGGTTGTTTATACCAAGGGTGATGAACTGCACCAAGTGCAAACAATTAGGCCACACCGCCGCCTTCTGCGGCAACAAGCCACGATGCGATCAGTGCGGCGAGAAGCATGCGGAGGGTGCTTGTGGTGCTCCTCCTAAATGTGTTTATTGTTTGGCACCTCCGCATCCTCTCGCAGATTGCCCGAAGTATAAACAGCAAGGAAAAAACTTGAACGGTCTCTGAAGGCGCGCTCTCAGCGTTCCTTTGCGGAGATCTTGAAGACTTTCAATCCTCCTCCCAAAATCACTCCGGAAAAAGAAAACAATAATCCGTTCAATCTTCTCCCAGTTGACGAGGACGACACTGACTCAGAGGGCAATGACGGAAGTCCTTTTGTTTTCAAATGTCCTTCAAGGAAGCGATCCAAGAATGACTCGCAGAAAACTAAAAAAACTGACTCCCAAGCCCACTTGGATAAATCAAGAGGTCACGGAAATAAACCGAAACCCAATCCACCGGGTTTTAAGCCTGTCGATTATGACAAAGAATTTCCGGGGCTTCCGGGAACATCTAAAACCCCAGATGTCCCAGTTTTGCAACCAGAACAGCAGAACGCCATGTTCACGCTTTCTGGAATTGTGGACAGCATTCTCGATCTGTTCAACATCACTGACCCTCTTCGGAGCATCATTAACATGATGCTTCCAATCGTGAAACCTTTTCTGAAGCAATTTGCTTCCAAGTGGCCCCTCCTTGCTTCATTCGTATCCTTCGATGGATAATTTTCCAAAAAATGATACGGTATCTCTCCTTCAATGGAATTGTAGAAGCATTTTACCAAAACTAGACATATTCAAATTTTTACTGCATAACATACACTGTGATGCGTTTGCTCTCTGCGAAACATGGCTCTCTCCAGATGTTAACCTTTCTCTTCACGACTACAACATTATCCGTCTCGATCGTGCAGATTCGTACGGTGGGGTGCTCCTAGGGGTCAACAAACAACACTCATTCTACAGAATCGACCTTCCTCCAGTGTCAGGTATTGAAATTGTCGCATGTCAGGTGAATATTAGAGGTAAAACCTTCAGTATTACCTCGTTATACATCCCTCCGAGAACGGCTGTTTCTCGGCGAGCGCTATCTGACATCTGCTCAGTGCTACCTGAGCCGCGGTTGATCTTAGGGGATTTTAATTCCCACGGTACAGGCTGGGGAGAGCTGTACGATGACAACCGCTCAACCATCATCTATGACCTATGCGACGATTTCAATATGACCATTCTAAACACCGGTGAAGTAACTCGAATAGCCAAACCTCCAGCAAGAGAGAGCAGACTAGACTTGTCACTCTGTTCGAACTCACTATCATTGGATTGCATGTGGGAGGTAATCCAAGACCCCTATG